CCAATATAGCACGTTCCCGTGTGGCTTCGTCGTATTTATTTAGAAGACGAAATTGTGTTATACGCGCACGGATCATGTCTATTCGCTTTCTCCGTTTCGCATTAGCCATCGCAAGTCGGCGAGTGAGAGTTGGACTGGCTCTGGGGAAAATCTCTCGAATGTGTTCCACATCCCAAGGTACCATTGCGTCGTAAGGACTCACACCTGTATCAGGATCAAATCTGTGGAAATCATCTGGTGCGTCTTGGTTTTGTAACATTCTAAGGGTCGGTTCATCCCCGGCATTGCGTTCAGGTAGTTTTGACAACGCCGCTTGGGTGAGCCCTTCACTTGGCATGGACGGAATTTCTTCAAGAGCTTCGGTACACTCGGTCTCGAAAAGGTTAGATAGTGTACCTGCCACATATTCATCTAGAAGGTTCATCGCATCGTCTTCGCCGCCTTCTTGTTGAAGAGATCCCATACCCACGTTTTCCCTCTCGAGCCCAGTTGCAAGAGGAAGGCTTAGGAGAGCGAGGTTCTCGAGGTGATAGGCCAGGTGTTTATCCAAATCTGCCCAGGTGTCTGATTCATAAGGGCAAAGCGGGCAGCCGCTCCGTGGTCGAGGTGCAATATTGGCATTGTTGTTGCATCCGTCAATAGTTAATAGCTCGTCCCGTGTATTAGAATGCTCTTGTATGACATGATACTCGTATGTCTCTCTGTCTGGGAACGTCTTCTCTGGATGGCTCGGGCAAGAGTACTCCATCCGATGGTGGACTTGCTCGTGGATGATCCATTCCTCCCACGTATTGAGCAATTTGCTATCTCCCTCCTGGCAGTTTTCCGCCAAGCACGTGTAGGGTTGGAGGTCTTGAATTAAGTGTGCTCTAAAGTTTGTCAGTCAAAGCTCCTTTTAACCTATTCAGCTGAGCACACCTCCAATGGCCTTTACCGCGATAATCCGCTGGACAGGTGACAAAACAATATGGGCAGATGAAGTCTTTCTTTTTCCCAAGTTCTTTCGGAAACGCTGGCCATCCCACCTTCCTCCCACTAGGCTCATATATTGTCGATGATGATGTGAATTCAGTCTTTGAAGACAACGATCGCGTTTCGTCAAGTGCGGCAAGGGTAGGCTCTTTCACCATTTTCCACGTTGCTGATGGCACCTCAGAAAACACAAGGCGACTCTTAGCTGGAGCCTCTAGGGTCGGCCTTTTTGGTGCCTTATTTTCCGGCGAAATCATTGGTTCTTGCATCTTCAGTTCTTCTTCTTCCAAATTTGGTGGGGGTTGAATCATGGTATCTTGATATTTCACAGCACGTCTCCTTTCCCATTCACGGGATCTCCAAAAAGCAAACTGCTGCTGTCGGTAGGCGTTCGCCATCGCTATACGTCGAATCACAGCTATTGTCCGGGAGCTGAGATCTGGGGTGTTGTCCGCTTTTGGAAAGGGGTCGCCACATTCATCGCGCAATGATTGACGAACGAGTTCTTCGATTCGCTGCCTGTGCAACTCTTCACACTGTTCCTTTGCAGTCTGTCTTTCACTGCTCGTCAAGTAGAACTTTGACCCGTCGATATCAACCAAAGGTTCTCGATAAAAGTTTCGCGCTGAGGGTGGAGCTCTAGTAGCTGTATTGCGAAGTTTTGAGGCCAGTCGGTAAAGTCGATCAATGATATCGGAGATATCATCTATCATAGTTTCAATGTCTTCAAAAGTGGCTCCGGGTGCGACTGATCCCGTATCTTGACTTGCAGACTTCTCTGAGTCGTTTTCTGACTCAGTATCATCAGAATCATCTTCAGCTAATTCTGTGTCCGTGCACGGTCTTGATTCTTCATCGTCTGTATCCTCTTCATCCTCTTGAAACCCAGTAGACTGCTCTGTGTATGACTCATCGGGCTCTTCTTTGAGAAGTTTAGTTACTGAAGGATAATTAATATATTGCGGCGAAAGAACAACTGTAGGGTTATTACAGTCAACAAGATCATCCCCCAGTTCTTCGAGAAGTTGCTTTGTGTAAGACTTGACACTTGCACTGTCCTTAACTCGATAATCCAGCGAGCGATCGCCTGTAGTTTGGAGACCCAGGTTAGCGGCCCATAACTGGAATCGCTCTTGTTCTGCGTCGATATTCTCGCGGCACCGCTCAATATCTTCACTGTTGCGCTGCTCGTACGTTTTCGTAGAAAGTGCTAGAGAAACTGCTCCAAACTGTAGCATCACGTTTCTCCCGAGCTCGCTAAGTGTCGCAGTCTCCATAATAACTCGAAATCAGATGAGAAATGATCAATAAGAACCTTCATTCTAGGTGTTGCCGATGTCAGAGCGGTTACTGCCATGTACAGGATAGCTGGAAGTCCCCTTCGCCGGAGCGGGGCAAGCGAGTCTACCTGCGTATCGTCTCAGAGGATTACGAAAGCCGCTTACTTAAGTGTTCCAACATTGATTCTCACGTGAAACTCGTATAGTATCCAGTATCCTTCGAAAACGCTAGTATGATCACAACTATCACAGGCAACAATGCGCTATCAAACCACATACTTATAGAGGTACCTGACAGCTCTTTATTCTTGGTCATTCATGTGCTTGTATTTCGTTAGCATAGGCGTATGTCCAACTATTACTTTGGGGGGCTTGAACTGCAAAACCTCAATTAGAAGTGGCGAAAGAGCATGGGTATTGCTTAAGCGAAGTGACGGGACAGCGACAGCGTTTCTCAGCCTTGCCAGATACGACATCCGACGTCTAATCCCACTTCGAAAGACCGCAGTTCTTCGTTGACGAACTTGCAGACATGGTCACAGGTGTGGAAACAGCCGGTCTGGTCCTTGGATCCCTTCCTCTGGTGATCGAAGGCCTGAAGGCGTATCAGAAGGGTATCAAAACCATCAAACGATCGATCAAATACGACAGTTCCCTCAAGAAGCTGATTCGGGGCGTGACTGAGCAGAAGATATGGCTGGAGGACAACCTAGACAAGCTGCTACTTGCCGCAGGCAACGCATCGGGTATTAATATCTCTACTGGCAGTGATCATTGGTCAGAGATCTCCATCGGACAAAGTGGGAAGGCCGTGAAGGACTACCTGGGTGAAACAAAACAAGCACAATTCAAAGACTTGATGGAAGATTTTGAGTCGACTCTTCTCGAGATCGCGAATGCTCTTCATACGGTGCAGAGGTCTCGTAAAGTAAGTGTTTAACATTCATTGAACCAATGACTCGCTAATTAAAATATAGAAAGAGTCTGGAATGATTCGCCCAACTCGCTCTGATATCCAGAAGCTTGCACTTACGGCAAATGTCCAGGGAAAGCTGGTGACAAAACGAATATGGTATCTAATCGAGGAAGCAACCATCTTAAGTCTAACCAAAGACCTTCACGACCTCAATTCTCAGATGAATAGGATTTTAAAGAACAATCGGGAGTTGCACGAGTTGAAGAGCATACAAGCATCGAAGATTATTCCAGACGAGCGCAAAGCCAGCGCCATAGCGTCACTTCTACGGCAGATCCGCACCTACACTGACAGGTTATTTGAAGCATTCTGTAAAGTACGTAATGACGCGACGCAGCAAAAATGTCTTACACTCACATTTACCTAGGCATGGGTATCAAGCTGTCATCCATCCCATAACGTCGCCCTCTTTCTAGACGTCCCAGCGTTTTCTTCGAACAGCTGGTCCCATTCCGGAATTAGCTCCTTCAATTTTCGCACGCTGCTCAACGAATGGCCGCAGGACGTTCAGGTATTACCCTCCTGGCATGAAGTCGGGGTAACCGTAGTCGAGGGTGATTCATCACAGATTATACATTCGTATGTGATCATTCTTTCTTGATATGCACTACTACCTTGTTTCCCTAACTGACATCTTGTGAAGCCACTCAACTACCACATCAAATAACAACATATCCGCCCCCCCATCAATTACCATCAACCCTCCAACAACACCCATAACAAGAAAAACTGTCGAGCAGGTCAAAAATCTCTGCATCGAGCTCACCCAAGCCAAAACTGCCCAAAAATCTCTTGATCTTCTCCTACGCTGCGGTCACCCAGTACTCTGCTACGACTTAAACACATGCCAAAAGAAACCCTCCAGCATGGTGTGGGACACCATCAGTCTGGATGAGCTCCTCACCTCTCAAAAGCGCATTCTTCCCCGTCAAAAGGTCCGCCTCGCTCTCAAACTAGCTGCTTCTCTTCTACAACTCAAAACCTCACAATGGCTATGTGCGACCTGGTCTAACCGCGCAATCTACTTCCCCAAGAAACCTTCGTCCGCTAACCAGCAAGCCTACTCTATCGAAATCGAACAACCTCTAATCCTCTATACATTCGACAGTGCAGCAGCCACAGCCACAGCCAAAGTGAGCCAACCCACCAACTCCAGCGAAGCCAAACCCCGTCTCATGTTCCTTGAACTCGGCATCCTCCTCCTGGAGATCTTCAATGAAGAGCCCATTGGGACATTCGCTCAGCGTGAACGCGGGATCACGCCCCCTATGCACCCTATGATGCGCGAGGGGGTCGCGAGGGACTGGTTCGACGAGACGAGCGAGCAAATGACCGATCAGTATGCCAAAGTTGTCGAGACGTGCTTGAGTTTTGCGTTGGAGCGCGCACAAACTGGGTTACAGACGTGGGACGATGATGATTTGTGGAAGAGTGTTTGCGCGAAGATTATTGGGCCACTAAATCAAGAGTGTGGGACATTTAGAGGAGGTGTATAGAGAGTTTTTATTGTTATACCCCTTTTAGGGAAAATGGGGTGACACACCTATATCGAACTGTATATTTCATAGTCTCCTCACTTCACAACATCAGTATAACGCAAATCATCCGGAATTTCTTGCATCCACAATGTATCCCGAGATTCACAGTTACCGAATTAAAAATATTGAGCGAAGTGGGTCCTCGCCTTTAACTCTTCAAACTTAGCGTCCACACGACTCACAAACAAACTACATGGGTAATTTAGCGATTCGTATATCTCATCGAATTTCCACGGGCGTCTGGTTTAGTTGGTATAACGTTCGCTTCGCATTAAGATTAATGAGTATGTGAAAGGTCTGGAGTTCGATTCTCCAGTCGTCCATATTTTTTGTTCCTATCGATGTAGCTGCGGAGCGCCAATTTTTGAATACGAAGACCTCCTCCCCCCCTCCGCTTTTTTTTCTTTTGTCTTTTTTTGGCTTGTAATGAGCAACCGGGGTTGTGGGACGAATTATCAAGTTGAGTTGCTAAGCGTTGTTGAGCAATCGCGCCGCTGCGAGGTTCACCAAAAACCACCCAAACCACCTTATTAGCTATAACTATACTTCATGGCCGCATGATCGATAATCTAGCATATATTAAACGATTACCACCCCGATTTATGGTGTCCCACGCTACCATATAACCCCTTTGTTACTTAGTACACGCTCGCCATGACGTTCGCCGTTTCCCATCACACGATATTCTAGGGTTTCTTATCTACTTCTTTCATGATCTTATGCCTCAACTGCGATCCTTCAAAAATCTGCTCAAAGTTTTCATGGTCCTCAGGGTATCTCCAATCTGAATCCTCCGATTCATAGAAACATATTTCCACGAGCTTTGGCGTCCTCGTCGCGGCTGTCTCAGTAATCCAAGCTCGAAGCTTCGCTATCTCGCTTTTTGCATCGTAACCATAGTTGGGAATCCAATTTTCGTTTGTGATTGTCACGATCTCAACGTTAGGAGGCATGCTGTCTTCCAATCGTCTCGATTCGTTCACCTCCCAATTCCAATCCGGAAGAAGGAGTATGAAAGGGGCCTGGAATCGCTTGATATTGGCGAAGCTGTCTAAACCGCTCAGGGATCCTCGAACTTCGAATTCCCTCGTTACGGTGTCATGAAAAGTTAAACTGTTGGTGCATTCGATGGTGAGATCCTCAAGTGTATCCTGGCAGGGTTTTAGGGCTTTAACGAATCTACCGAGGTCGATCGTGTCGGAATTTAGCCGATCGATGTTAGGTTTCCACCCCCAGTGTAGCTTCTTGAGGTTCATGGTTCTTTCTAGGATCTGCGCCAAGAACTCGACGTTGACAAATGACAGAAAGAGCGAGGTGAGGCGAGACAGATCGGGCGGACCCGCTGGCCAGGCGAATGGGAATGAGTTGGGGTTTGTGCACCAGCCCGAAAGACTACGCATCGATGGAAAACTGAGGAATGCCATCACATCCCTGGGGTTAGAAAACTCCGGATTGCGCCCAGGGTCGTTATCTGGCGGGCCAGGGAAAAAGACATCCTGGAGGTTTTGGAAGCGAGAAATACCGTGATTTGATGTGTCAAAGGCGGCAGATTGGAACAATTTGCCAAGGAATTGGTTTTCGTCCGTCATCTGTGGTGGGATTTCGCCATAACCATAACCTTCAGGGTCCGCTAGGACAACTGCGTATCCGACGCGAAAAGTTGCAAGATTGGGCAGCTTGGACAACAATAATGCGACAAAGGCGTTCAGATTGCCTGCGCGCAGTTTCTCTATCCAGCTATCGGCATAGGACAGGCCAGAACCCGCAATGAATGAAAAGAATTCGGGCATGCCATCTCCGTCTCTCAGCTTTGGTGGAGACGATTTTCGCATCCACCGCTCAAAATCATAGGGCGAACGAATAAGACTATGAATTGCGGGTTCACCATCGCGCAAACGCACAGATTTGATATAGGTCGCTAGGTCAGGCTTCTCAAAAATACTTCGACAAAGGTGTATCAGAGGACGCGGATTTTCTCGATAGATGCTAAACTCGATTCGAGAATAGAGCAATGGAGTTGCCGCTGCGTGTAACTTCTTGCTCGTAAGGCTCACGGAGGCAAGGTCACTAGTCGAGACCTGCTCGAGGATGTAGTCTGTGAGTTCCCTGGGACAGGCATGGAAAGGTGCCATGTTGAAGAGATGAATAGGGATGCACATGGAAAGAAGTCGATAGTAATAAGCTCGGGTACTAACCCCTTTAGGCCATGCAGTAGTTCCACCCGATCGTCAATTTTGTAGTCAAGAACCTGAAGAGTTAGGGCTGCCCCCTTGGGATGGCGAGTGTACGTGAAGTGTACATACAATACTACATATATTATATATATGGTTTTTATGTGTAGTACGTATTCATGTCATAAATAAGCACTAATTTTAATATAGAAGGTAGAGTAGTAGAAAGCCGATTAATAAGTAGGTCGTGGCCTATTACCAAGCTATCATTCTATAGGGATAGGTTACGTACATTTCTTCTTCCACGGTAAATACGTGTATATATAGCATTAGTGCCGTTTTCTGTATATACGTTGATGTGTAGAAAAACTAGAAGTACGGTATTTTGCCACCCCTACTGCCCTCTCATTTGGGTATTAGAAGTTGTAGGTACTGGCCATAGCCCCAGAACGTTTGCATAAGGTTACCCTACCCTTATGCTGTGATCTGCAGAAGCTACGATGGCAATGAGACTCGAACCGCCTTAATTATCCCGTTAATTTCAGGAAAGTCTACTACAAACACAACGATAGCAAAGAAGGCGTTAAGAGATGTAATTTGGGCGATTCTCCTGAGTAAGACGAGATGCTAACAAACGTCATGCAATGGGCGGCGGAAGCCTAAGAGAAGGGATGCCCAAGCATCTACTTTCAACTTAAACACAATATATCCAGAGAAATCCCTGGCTTTGTCCCGCTTTTTCCAGCGGCCACCTTTTTCTCCTATTCAGTGAACCAATCGCGATATCCCAGTCCACTGCCACAGCTCCATTTAGGACCTTCTCACACCACACCCTCACCATTCCCGAGCTCCAGCACCGTTCCTCTATGCCCTCTCCAGCCGATCCTTCCAAAAAGCACGTGCAAATCGAATTCTGGCTGCTATGTTCCAATCCTCCATTAGGCGCGACGGTGCGGGGAGCAATCCCCTCTTGAATCCGCTGCAAAATTGTCCCATTCATCGCAAGGATTGATAAATATCACTCGTGGTTTCGAGTCATCGGCACAGGGTGCAAGACCACCCAGACACGTCCTTGGCTAAGGATCCTACACACGGGTAAATAAGGAGTGACGTGATTGAGATAATCACGTAAATAGGTCTAAATTCACCCTCTTTCCCTTTCATGGTGATTGTTCAGAGCGATATAACAGTAGCCTCTCAATCATGTGTTTACCTGTGTGTACGATCTTTGTCAAGGGCGTTTTGGAGTGATCTTGCACCTTGTGTCGATACCGTGCGTGGTTTTATTAATCCTTGCGATGTTTACCCAAATATTATAACATTTGCCGCTGCATGAGGCCATGCTAATAATCACCTCATTCTGCCTTTGTTTGCCCGCCTTGCCGTTGCCACTGTTGATGTCGTTTAGACCCTTCAAGGAAGAATGTTAATGCCGCTGAACATGGTGAGGTAGTGATAGGGAATGAACTCAGAGTGCTCGCCTGCAAGGGAAGCCTTTTACATTCGTTTGTGAAAGCACGCAGCTTCCAAGCCCCTCCTCCCAAACGTGGCTCGCTGAGTCGTTGAAGATCCAGAGTTTTGAGTTTTAATTGCGCCTATAAATTAATGTGCTGGTGGTTTAGTCCTTTCATGCGATAATACTTCTCCTCTTCCAAGACGCCGATTTTTGTAATACAGATGGCCGTCTTTCTTGCTATGTATTTTGTTGTAGTGAGGTAGGATCCCTCTACCAAATGAAGTAACTGCGAGTAAAGATGTGCGTGTGTGTGTGTCTGGAAGAAAGAGAGACCAAAAAAGAAAGAGAACGTGCCGGACCACCGATAACCCTCAATATGTGATCGTAAAGAGATTGATATATCAAAATTTATACATGATTGCGAGGATTAACGAAATCACTCACGGTTTCAACACAGGTTACAAAATCACTAGTAAAGAGAGAGGGGGAAGGGGAAGGGAAACCCTCCTCGCAACACAATTCAGCTGTCCTAAGTATTCACCAGTCTTGTTTAGTCATCTGGCACGTCTACTGCATAACCTACAGATGGGTGAGGGGTGACGCCCAGTGATGCTAAATTCAACATCAGCGAAGACTAAGTTCGTTGGAAAGTTGATCGGTGTTCAGACCGTGACGTCTGATTATCTAGCAGTATTAGTCCTCTCCAACAGGTACTGTACAAAGGTACAATTTTTTGGATAAAAGGAAATAGCAACTTTGGTATTTTGAAATGTGTGTACATTTAGATACCCCAAAGATTTCACAAAATCACCCCAAAGAAAAAAAAAGACTTGACAACCTGGCTCTCAAACTTTGTATTCACCCCCAACTACTTCAAACCCCCACCCTTTCCATAGAATAACTACCCAATACCCTCCAATGACACCCGTACCAAAAAAACACCCCCCGAGATAAAACGTAAAAGAAAATATCCGTAGTGCGGTAATGTTACTTCGAGCGAAGCTAATAACGCAGTTCCCTTTCCCTTCCTCAACCTTTCCCAAAAAGTTACAGGCCCATTTGTTTGTTTGCTTTTGCAAGTTTCCGACTCCAGCACCAATCGCTATGCAAGAGAGACAGACATACAAAAGAAGAAAAAGTACATAGGCTATTGTGCAGGCTGGGCGATACGCAAAAAATACCCAGGCGTGGTGATGCATCCAGCCACAAGAAAAATGTAGATGTGATTTAATAGTACAAGTATAGGGCGAAGTCTGCTAGTGATTATTTGGCGGAGACGACCGACATCCATTTTTGTTCGTCTTTCCTAGTGGGGTGTTAGCCATCGTACTCAATAATAGACGGTGGTCGAAGTACATACTTATCAAAATGTAGCAGCATTCCCAGTACTGGGATGAGTTGCTGTTGATACTTCTTATCCTTTTGTTCAAGGAACTGCAACAGCACATTCTTCAAATACACGTAATCGATGGCTTCGCCAGCCTGTGCCGTAGAGCCCGCCTGACTTTTCGGCGTCGGTGACGCAATCCGTGAGCGCGAGGACTCAAGGGAAGATCTGGACGATTGCTGTGTGGATGCTGTGGCATCAGTGGTGCGCGTTTTCAAGGTGCGGAGCTCTTCGGACATGGCCTTGCTTGATTTCTGCAGTTTCTCAAGCCGGCCTTGGGTCTCGTCGAATGCGCGGCGTAAGTCGGCC